CATTGAACCCCACAAAGAGATCGTAATTTATATATCTTCCTCAAAATTAGCATCATTCACTTGCCACTTCATGCTCATCCACTTGCATTTGTCTGTATTTGTTTATATATGATTTCCGACCTAACCCTACTTGACTTATCATCTCATCAAATACTATCATTTCGGGGCATCATATGATCAAAGTTGTCAAATTATGGTTTCGGTCCCTACCATGATGAAAATGAAGCACGATGACTAAATTCGGAATCGGAGACAGTGTAAGGACAAAAACCACAATTTATATGTTGATTGATGATCAGTCGAAATCAATGGGCAAATGTGGAACATATGTGGCGCTTATAGGACAACGTGTGGTGAGACGAGACACGAAAAAGAAAGGGCTGCTGGCTCATCTTTTACGTATAAATAAACAAAAAGCAGAAGAAGAAAAAAAAGAACCCTAAAAACACGCCGAGGAACTGCAGCAAAAAGATGGGTCCAGACCCTTTAATTTGGCGTTCTGCAGCTGCTGCAAAGATGATAATGATAATAGGTAAAATAATAAACTCCATTTTCCTTTTACACTTGTTCCGTATGTTAATGTTATGTCAGGTCTATTGGACCCACTTTTGTTTTTATTATAAATTATGTATTTAGTACTAAGGTTATCAATTTTAACTCGTTTTAGTACATAAATTTTTATTTTTTTTAAATCATATCTAAATTTTTTTTTTGTTTCATTTTAGTATCTCACTTCAAAAATATAACGTTGAGTTTTGAAAGGAATTTAAAGTTTTGATACTAAAACGGATCAAAATTGGTAGTTTAGGTACTAAAAACGTTAAATTTTTAACGATAGATACTAAAATGAAAGAAAAACTAAACATTAGATATGATTTCACTACAAGAATATGCACTTTTAGTGACGATACAAATGGTCATTAAGAACACTAAATTTAGACGCTAAAATGTATAGTAACCAAATTTTCAAGTCATCACTTGTCGTAACTAATAACTTTATTACTATTATATTAGTGACAATTATTCTAAAATTTTTACAATTGTTCTTTCTTTTGTGACCATCTAATCGACACAATTATCAATATAAATTGTGATGATTTTTTGACACTAAAAATATAGTTTGTGACCATCAATGTGATCACACTAAGTATTTTTAGTGATCAAATGTTCGATACTATTATTAATAGAAATTGTGATAAATTTATTTGACACTGAAAGTATATTTTGTGACCACCAATATTGTCACAGTAAGTGTTTTTTAGTGACCAAATGTTCAACACTATTAACAATAACTCTATCACTATTATATTAGTGATGACTTTAATGAATTGTCACAATTACTTGTATTTTTTTGTGACTACTTTTTTAACACATAAATATTAATAACAATGACAAAAAATTAGACACCAATATTATACTTATTAGTGACAAATATTTTATCACAACTACATAACTAAATTAATTAAAAAAATTATTATGCAATCAATTATAGTAGATATTACATTTTTTTCGTTAATGATAGATGACGCGACATCTTCACATATTTATTTTTTTATAACAACCAGCATCTGATTTTAGATCGGATACTACATAAGCATGGTTTAGTGTCTTATCTCGCTAGACCATCTGATTATTGGTTTAACATGTTATTTTTTAATAAAATTAATACAATACGTGTCTTTTAAAATGATCGAACATTGGACCTTCAGGGAAAAAGTGCAACGCCTAGCCTCTGTGTTGAGAAAAAATATATAAGTTGTTGACAAAAAAATAATATTTATGTTAAACTATTGTTTGAATTAATTTTATTTATTTTAATATATATATAATAGTAATTATTATTATAATAATAATTTAATTAAATTTTTATGATTTCTCATATGAAATACATTCATGAAAGATTTATATAAAAAATAATTAGGTTTATTTTAAAGTTTAATCATATAAATATTAAGATTTAAATATAAAATAATACAAAGTGTTCTTAAATTATATTTAGAAAATAAAATTAAAATATTTGAAAAATTCACATATATCTCCATAAAGATCATAAATTACATATTAAAATTAATCAATTATTTTGAAGAAAAAACTAATCATAATTGAAGATTAAATGGTACTATCAAAGCTTCTAGTATCGTCGGTCATTTATACAATTTGAATGGTTATTGAAATTTAAAATTTTAAAATGTATACATACTAAAATTGATCAAATTAGAGTTTAAGACTAATAACCAAATTTTATCATTTGACAAACTAGTTTATCTTGCAATAATTTTAATTATTATTGATGTCAACATTTATCACAACAAAAATTAAAATTTTAAGTGAGAAACAAATTTATTGTAACAATAAATATCAAATAATAGTGATCACTTTATATATTGTCACTATCATATCATTTCTCACCAAGGAAATAATTATGCCAATTTAAGTATTATAATAGTGTCAAAGTTTTTGTGGCGGTAAAATTTGTATCACAATTATATACTTATAGAGAGAATTTAATTGTGAACAAAATATAATCATCATAATTGTTACTATAACATTGACGAAATAAAAATACATCACACACTACAGCAAAACATGTATTTTGCGGCGTTTTTTTAACCTATAGCGGCGTTTTTAAGCGTCGCTAAAAACACATGCGGCGTTATGACAAATGCCGCAAAAAGCGCCGCTAAAAAGTTAGCGGCTTTTTTTTAAAAACACCGCAATAGGTTACAACATATAGCGGTGTTTTCTGAACAAACGCCGCAATAGGATTTGTTATTTAGCGGCGTTTGTCAGAAAAACGCCGCAATAGGCGTTGATGTTTAATGGCGTTTTTTCTAAAAATGCCGCAAATGGTTTTGAGATGTAGCAGCGTTTTACTTAAAACCGCCGTAATAGGTTTTGATATTTTGCGACGTTTTTCCCAAAAATGCCGCAGTAAGTTATGTTTTTTAGCGGTCTGCGGCGTTTTTATCGAAAACGGCGCAATAAGGGTTGAGAATTAGCGGCGTTTCTAGTGCAAAAACGCCGCTAAATGCATGGTATATTGCGGCGTTTCTAGTATATAAACGCCGCTAAATGTTTGGTATATTGCGGCATTTCTAGTTTGCAAACGCCGCTAAATAACACAGGATTTTTCAATTCTAAAAATAATGCTTGATTACCCCAAATCTATTTTTTCAACCTGTTCCATTATCCAACAAACAAAACAACTATAACATTAAACTCTATATCCATAACAAACAACATCAAATCTAATATAATAAATATAAATTTTCATTAACATAATATAAGTTCAGTTAAACAAGTTTCAATAACATTAACAGAATGCTCATAACATACATAAATGAGACTAGGATGGTGGATTCTGAGGTTGCGTTTTCTGTATCATTAGCATCATATCATTGAGTCGTTTTTCAAATTCTTCACATCTCTGCTGATATGTTGCTTATCTCTGTGCTGCTGCTTCTTTCTCTGCTTCCACTGCTGTTCTCTCTGCTTCCCTTTCTTCATTTTCCGCTTTCAAATTTTCCGCTTTCAAGTTAGCCATTATTTCCTTGTTTTAACCATAAAGATTAGGGTTTATCGATATTTGTCTATCTTGGGGGGATTGATTTGTAATTTCATGAAACAAATTAAGAAATCGTGAGAAACCAGATTATAAATACATATAAACAACCAATATAAAAAGTATAAGATTAAACCCTGAAAATATTTCAAAGCTAAGGTTCAAATTATTCAAAGAAAGAAGGTTCAAAGAAACAAATCTGATTAATATTCCCTAAAACTCTCTTAATGGAAACGACTCAAGAAAAAAACAGTAGAGAAATGCCAAACAAAGGGTCCACAAATGTAGTATTCACTGGTTAGGAGAAATAAAAATCTTGAATTAACAAACACAAATGCAAATCAAACATAAGTACAAGACTAACATTAACAAATTTAAAATAAAACAACTGTGTATATCTATACAAATTTAAGATCTTCTTGCTCAACAACTGTGTATGTATATAAATACCACAATAAAAAGCTCTTGCAGGTTAGTTTGTATGTTTTTCTTTAAAAATTAAAAATAAATTGTGGTTAAGTTATAACGCTTCTGTTATAACGAAAAGTAGCTTCAAGCTCTATCATTATGGGTGTTCTGGATGAAGCCTTTACATCAACTTATTCATTCAGTTGTTAACTAAGTATAAGCAGTGTAGGTTCACATCTTCATTAAAATCAGTGTTGCAATAAACCTTTTTGCAGAATCAGCTTCTAGATGTTGCATTTAGCTTTACAGTTTCTATCAGTCGGAAATCATAGAATATATTGAGAAAGTGAAAACATGTATATGGGAATAAAAAAACAGTGAAAACTGGTAACCATCTTTATCATTGTATGAAAAAGTGAAAACATGTATATGAGAATCAAAAACAGTGAAAGAAAGAATAATCCTCATTCTTCAAGAAACATTTACAACATTAAGCACTATCATAATTAAATTAACACAACGGATTAAAAGCTGCCACTGAAAGTTAATTCCTTACCTAACAGGTAATATTAAGAGACAAGAAATCACATCAATATGATATCAACGATCATCCAATAAAAGTAAACAAATGATATATGTAGCCTACACCACAAGTTCAAAATTTTTGAAGCTTCAAGTTGATTTTGAAACCTGAAATCGAAGCAAAATCCAAGCTTCGTTTCTCATTGTGTATCCATGTTTTTTCTTGTTTAAAGAAAAGTCGTGTGATTTAAATTTGATATGTTCTCTCTTCAGTTCCAAAATTATGCCTCATCAATCTCAGTGAATTTAAAGCCAAAACTCAATTCTGCAAAATCTCAACATAACCCCTTTTAACAAAAAAAAATTAAAGAAAAAACAGCTGATAAAGCTTAACAAGACCCTACCTTCTCCAAACTATTCGATAAAAACATATATTAAAATTTTTAATAAGCCCTAGCTAAGTATTTTTGGTACAAAAGACAATTGAAACTAATAATCAAAATGTTCCCGAATTCAAATTAGATGGCATCAAAGCTAATCAGCATCAAATTTCCAGAGTTATATATGATATATCAACGAAGCTAACAGAGAGAGAAACGAATGAACAAACTTCGCTTAAGTCCTTCAGCAGCAGCTTTCAACTTCTCCGGATTGAGAGGCGTATATTTGTCCTTTCGCAATTCATTAGTCGTCGATGCCGTGATTGAATTCTCCGTACTCGGCAACTCCCACCTGCAAATTTCTCCATCCAAATACAATAGGGAAAAAGAAAAAAGAAAACAAGAATTTGTTGTAAATAGAAAGGGCTGACCTTTTGGGGCCAAAAGTAACCTGGGGAAGAGAATCGTAAGCCCTGAGAGGGTTCAAGGCATCAGGTGAAGAACTGGAGGCGTTGTTTGGATTAGAATGGAGTGCCCACTTGAAGGTCCTTGAAAGAGACGAAGGATCGAACGGTTGCCGGAAGATCTTGGAAGGCAAAGAATGTTTGAGGACCTCAGGAAGCACGTCGGCTTGAACTTGTTGCTCGAGCGATGGTGGATTCGATGAGGGGGTTTTGGGGGTTTTCTCCGCCAAACGGTTAACGGATTGTTTGGTTTCCTGGAAAAAGAAGGCGGCTTCTTTCGCCGCTTGTCTTCCCGCGAGAAAACTCATGGTGTTTTCTTCGGATTGGAGCAATGGCAGAGTTTGGATTCAGGATATTTATTGGGGTTTTGGAATATTTTTGTCTGAATTTCAACTTTCAAGGTTTTCATTTTCAAAGTATTTTAACACCGTCTTAAAAAAATATTTTTATATACTTTTTATTAATCTAAAATAAATATAAGATAATATTAATTCAAAAATTCTAAATCATTCGATATTAAATATTTATATCACTAACATACATAGTGTATTAGTGTTTGAACTCAAAGCTTTAGTAATGAATTTTTATTATTATTTAAAGTTCTAAATTCAAACATTTATATATATAAGGGCATGAAGGTTTAATGTAAAATGATTGAAATTTTTTGAAACTCTTATATTCACTCATACTAATAAAAAGAAAGATAAATTACATGTTTAGTATTTAAATTAGCGTTTGGCGTTTTTTGCGGCGTTTTTTTTAAAAACGCCAATAAAATACAAATATTTTGCGGCGTTTGTTATAAGAACGCGACTATATAATACACCTATTGCGGCGTTTGTAAAAAACCGCCGCTATTATACTACTCATTAGCGGCGTTTATATCTAAAAACGCCGCAAAATGTGTAATATATAGCGGCGTTTTTTGATACAAACGCCACTAAATACCTTTATTTATATAAGATTAACATATTTTAAATATTTCATTTCTTCTATACATAACCTAAAGTTACAACCATACATTTTAATTAAGACAGAAGTCCTTATGCATAAAACTACTTAACAACAAAATACATTATAATTTAGAAACATTAAAGTACTTATGCATAAACAATCTTCACCATACATTATAATTTAGAAACATTAAAGTACTTATAGATAAACAGTCTTCAACATACATTATAATTTAGAAACATTAAAGTACTTATGCATAAACAGTCTTCACCATATTGTTCAGTACAATTTAGTCTTCATTGCTCCTTCGTGGGGAAAGGACGTAGGAAAGCTGTTTTCCTTGTTTGACGACGCATCGTTAAGTTTTTCCTCCGTGTAAATTCTATATGGAGAAACTCTTCATCCATTTCACCAAATAAATCTCTTACCTCCGGTTCACCAAGAAGACTCCTTGCGCGCTTCAGTGCTTCACTTGAAACAGATAACGACCCTCCACCTACAGTATAAAACTTGATTGGAGGTGCTTGGGAATTGAATCAAACATTAAAATATATTTAAATAGATGATATAAACGTTTACTTGGAGTAACAGTAGAGGCAACATTGTCTTCATTGAGGATCGATACTGCTTTTGCAATTGAAGATTCTTTCAACGCCACAGAGTTACCAAATTCGTTTCTAAACATAGGGTATTTATCCATTTCTCTATCATCATTCTCAATAAGCTTCGAAGATCCTACATGCGTACGATCTATGAAATTTGAGTCGTACAAAAAGGGAAATATAGCGGCATAAAGATTCATAGAATTTTACCTTCAAGTAGGAGATCAGCCATGGAAGGGTATGGAACAATATGAGTTCCTGTCGAGTCATCATCGAGTTTCGACGACGAAACCGGACCGATAGCCTCCCAGCGATAATTTGATCCATCGTCAGAGCAAAGACGCCACGCAGACATTCCGACGATAATTTCTCTTACTCAAGGCAAGACCTGTTCTTTTTTTCTCAAATATGTTAGCTTTCTGGGTTTTCCCCATTTTCAGAACACCAACCAAAACAAAATTGAAAAAGATCATTAGTGATAAGAGGGATCAAACCGTGGAATTGTGTTATAGTTCGTCGGTGAGAGGGCAGATTTGGTCGCCGGGATAGACAAAAGATGACGTCGCTTGGAATCGTGTGAGGGTCGTTGTTGTACCAGAGAAGAAACTATGAGGGAAGAAGAGTTGAAATGATTTTAGGGTTTGGGTGGGAGAAAAGGGAGGACAATATATTTAACATTTTACGGCGTTTTTAACAAACGCCACTATATCACATGTTTTTTACGGCGTTTATACAAAAAACGCCGCTAATTTACCACTCTATTGTGGCATTTTTGGTATAAATGCCGCTAAATTAACACTATATTGCGGCGTTTTAGTAAAATGCCGCTACATGTCTACTATATTGCGGCGTTTTTACTATAAACGCCGCTATTGTTTAACCTTTCTGTGGCGTTTGTCTAAAAACGACGCAAAAACTATTATTAATTACGGCGTTTGTTGAAAAACGCCGCTATATTTATACTCTATTGTAGCGTTTTCATAAAAAACGCCGCTAAAGTCTCAATTTGTGGCGTTTGGATTGAAAACGCTGCTATATGTAATACTTTTGTGGCGTTTTATCAACAAACGCCGCTAAAAACGCCGCTACAAAACAGTTTTGCTGTAGTGACACTTATTTTTATTAATAATGTCGTACAAAATTTGTCACCAAAATTTTAATATATGTGACAAAATTACTAATAGTCACTATCAATTTGTCAGTAAAAATATTTACTCTTGTAGTGATACTTGTGACATAATTTAAGACCGTCACAAGTATACCATTATAAAATGATAAACTTACTAGTGAAAAATGTTATTATCACAATTATAAATAATAATAGTGATCACTTAATATGTTATAACTATTACATTGTTTCTTGTTTAGAAAATGTGATGTCAATTCAAGCATTTTATTAGCGACTAAATACAATATGACACAACTATTCACTTCAATAATGATAAAAATTATTGTCGTCACAAATCACCAACTAAGACCAGTGACAAAAACAATTAACTAAGACTAGTGACGAAAATAATTATCGTCACAAATCCCAACTAAGACTAGTGACAAAATATTTTCTTCACATTTATGAATAATAATAATGACTACATAATATTTTGTCACTATTACAATTTTTCCGCGAAAAATAAGTTGACGCCAATTCGACTATTCTATTAGTGACTAATTGATAATGAAAACTTGCTTTAGACATAATAAATACTATTAGTGACGAATTACTTGTGATGAACTTCAATGTTGTCACAATTATTATCTAAAGAGTGAAAAATAAAAATAAGTCACAATTACTCATTTCAAAATTAACAAAAATAATTTTCATCATAAATAACGTACTTTTTGTGACGAAAATCTTTAGTATCATGGTTAAATGGGCACTAAAAATTTTAATTCTTGTGGTCTTTTGAAAAAAATAAAAGTTTAGATACTAAAACGAATTAAAATTGATGGTTTAAATATTAAAATCATAATTTACCCTTATTTTTATTTATCGACCTTTCCATCTTCTTACTTTGCTTATTTGATTGAAATTGCTTTCTAGGATTGGTTTCATATTGTGTGCGTTGAATTTAATTTCAATGACTATTTTTTATTATTTAAAATGATGATGATGATGATGATAATAATAATAATAATAATAATAATAATAATAATAATAATAATAATAATAATAATAATAATAATAATAATAATAATATGTTGTAGGAAACAAATGTGTTTCATTGACAATAAACGATTCATTTTTCTTGTTTGAATGGAGAGTAGTAGTTAATAAGAGAACAACCGTGATCGATAATTTTATATTGTAAAAGGTTGGTCATAAGGAAGAAGAAGAAGGTATTTATTTGAACAGTGGTTGTAAGTGGTCCATCCTCTTTCTAGTCTTGATTAGATGTATTTATAGTGACCTTTAATGTACATATCAATCGTAGGATCATGATGACCGCATGTAGACTGACCAAACTAAAAAGAATTAATGATTAGACCTTAAATTGTATACTAGTAAGTTACATAGACATGTAGAGAATCTTATTTAGATCTCATTTGCACATTGTGGTTGATTTGAGGTTCTGTGCTCGACCAACGTAAGGTTTTAAGGGCTCTAATAAGTGGAGAGGTCTACAATATTATCACGACAAGCGTCCCTATTGGTTTGATAGTCTAAATGTATTAAGAAATTGTTAAAGAAAGTCTTAAGTTAATAAATTAAAAGTAATCATCATCAAATTAAATATACTTAATGAGATCTTAATTAGTTAGTTATATGGCACACCAACTTGCCACCCAATGCCCATGACTCGACCCTCGCATGCACCATGCTCTTTATCTTTTCTGATCACAAATTGTTTTTCAGTACTACTACTACAAATTTATTAGTATAAGATGATATTTTAAATTTAGATTGATTGATTTATAATATTAATACTTAAACTTTAGACATTGATTAATAATTTTATCGTCACATTTTATTATAGGACGATATTTTTAACTTGGTTGTTTTGTTTATAATGTTAGGATACTTGTTGGCCAAGAATAAGCAAGGGACTACTTTGGACTAAAGAGATGAGCCATACATTTATATATTATATATTATAATAAAGTAAACAATAATTTATCATCATAAAAATTTAATACTAAATTTATTACCATTGTTTTTAATGATACAACATGATTTAATTTACAAATGGTGTATAAAATTATGCATTTTAGATCATAAAAAGAATAGTTTTTATGCTTATTTGATAATAACATCGAGAGCACACATTCGTCTTGCATGAATCCAATATTATTCAAATCCAGGGCCGGATGCACTAACCCACTAGGGGTCAAATGCATCCTCGTTATTTAAGAAAAAAGTGAAATTTAATTTAATATGTTAAGGAAAAATAAATAAAAATAAAAATTTCTGCATATATATTATTTTTAAAAAAGAATATTAAAATTTTAAACATCCATTCTTAAATTTCTGGATCCGCCACTGTTCAAATCTATTTTACTTTCTAATAGAAATTATGTGCAAGTCTAGTACTCTGGTTCGTAATTAAATATATGTTAATGACAGCGAAAACATTTAAAAAGAAAGGATCAACCAATGTTTGTTAAAAAAAGAAGGGGTCATTCAACAATGCAATATGCCTTCATTTGGAAATCTTGAAGCTTGTCATGTGTTTACTTTTAAGGCATTCACATGTATGGGTTGAGTACTTTTAATTCATTATTCCGATGATGAATAAGTCAAATGCCAATGAGGACGAGCCAACAGAAAGGTAATAGCAATGAAAGAATTCCTTTTTCTTTTTTTTTTTGGTGAGGTGTCTAAAAGAAGATATGGG